GGTCAAGGGTCCCCTTGAGAATCCAGGGAAAGCTGCTGCCTCTGTCCTCATTAAAATGCACGAGGAGGACGTTACACAAAACCCCATGAAGTTTGGGGAGTGCAGGGGTGCCCTGAAGCCCAGCCCTGAACCCCAAGTGAAGCGGCTCTGCCACAGAAGACGGACAAGCCAAGGTACTTTAATCATCCCTCCAAATTCAGTCTCAGCTTATTAACTTGTACTGTAGCTCCCTGGAAATTTCTCTGTAACACTCAAATTTATATGCTCACTTAGCGTGCTCTGCCCTTGAGACACTTGGGAAATTAGCTGCAGAGACCGATTCGGATGGGCAGGCACAATTTCTCACCCGACGTGGCATTATATAGGGAATCATGCCCTGCCTTGCCAGCCTGGAGTACAGACTAATGTTGTATCTCTTTGAAAATTTCAGTTAAGGGACTCTGAATCTTCATCTTGATTGTAATGGAAACTCTCTGTTCTTATGGAAAGGTTGTCCTACCCTAAATAATTTCTGAAACCTCTGAGAAACGGTTACATAGTCTGTGACCAATCCTTCTAGCTGCTCCCGAAGCCCACCCTACCACCTTCTGGACGGATGTTGTGCAGGTCAGTATATGAAATGCTCCGTGCCCTTGAGCGAGCCAGTAGCTCAAGAAGGAGTTCTCTTCAAGCTCCTTAATTTGAACGGTCACCAATATTATCCCACCCTATGAAATGGCATATGTGAAATGGCATATCCAGCTGACGTGGCTGGATGGTGGTAGCGGTGATGCATGGGGGGGGGGGGTCTTAATAGTTTCCATGGACCACGTTCTTCCAGCTAACACATTGCTTCATGTATTGCTCACGTGGTAGATGGTAAAGACGTTCCATTGAATCAAGAGCTACGGAATATAATTGCTCATAAACCCACTAGTCCAGTAACATAGGTATATAAATGCAATGTATTTATTTATGCATTAAACCATTCAAGTGGGAAATTACCTGTAATGGATTCCAAGCCAGCGTACCTTTGGGTACCCTTCCTCCAGCTCCTCCCAGCAGGACAATTCTAGTCCACAGATTTAAGTAGGCAGGAGTCAGGGGTCGGGATAGGAAAGGTCTGGTCCAAAGACATCTCCCTTCTATGCTTCCCCAGGGCCTGAGTTTAATAAACGCAGCACACATGTACCCTAAGAGAGGGTAGTAACTAGCTGGCTAACATTCTCACTCTCTCTTGTGAATGTGTTTAACTAGACAGCTATCCTCTCAGGGGCTCACAGGTCATTCACAGCTGAGAGTAGAAAGACTAATTGGAGGGTTGAAAGGAAGACCTAAAGCAAAGTTGGGAAACCACAGCAGGATGTTCAGGGCAGCCAGAGAGCAGTGAGTATCCGGAGGGCAAGACTCCCATCAGATGGGAATGATGGAGAGAGGAGAGAGACAGGCTGTCTAAGACGAATTTCACCTCATTCATAATTAGGCCCAAGGCCAGTACTTCTCTTCCCAGACTCACCCAAGACGTGCCGAAGATAATAATTTAATGCCTATTTCTACAAGGGTCAGATGAAACGTCTTTCCGCAGCGCTTGATGTCACTTAGGTCCTGCCTGATTTCTTCTTCACGTTGGACCTGTGATAAATGCTGATTTCCAAAGTCATTCTACAATCCCTTGCAAAACAAACCACCCCAAACTTAGTGGTGAGAACAACAACCATAGCTACCTTGAGTAACGTTTGAACCAAGTATTTGAGCCGTCTATTCTGAAGCTAGACACGAAAATTATCTGTAAACATTGAACTTTGCTTTTTTTTTTTCTTTTCCTGCAGAGGTATGGGTTAACAATTTTGAAACTACTTTATGTATATCCTAAGATTAAGAAAATAGAGCAATATATCATGGTTCATAGGAACCAGGTTTTTCACTTCTGGAAAAGGAAGTCATAAATATGGAGAAGGAGAGAGTTGAAGTGAAGCTCTGTGGTGTTGGATCGGAATTAGAGAAATCAGTATAAACTTATGGTTTGAACCAATGGTTTTTAATACAAAGGGAGAGATAGAAAATAAAGTGTGGGTGTATATGTGTGTGTGTGCATGTGTATACAGACATATACTTCCTAGATCTGGCCAGTAAGAAAGCCAAAAAGCAAGGACACTCTGGTAGCAATAGGCATCCCAGGAACCCCGATTTTGGTTTCTAAATACTTTCCCTCTAAAAGGAAAGAGGGCTCCTTAGGAAAATGGTTGATTCCAAGGCCGGGGCAGGGGCAGTACAAGATGTACTGGGAACATCTTGTGTCGAAAAGGTACGAAAGTGCCCAAAGAATGACGGGAACATATCAAAGATCATAAGAGCCCCAAAGGCCAAATCTAGGACAACTTAAGCATCAGAATAATTCATAATAGTAACAGATTATAACCTATTGAATCAAATAATTAGTTAAATCTGATTTTTATAAATAAATGAGGAAGAAGGAAATCTCTTTCAGTAGAATACTAATAAATGCAGAAGGAAGGATGAAATCAAAAGTCAGCCATCATGGTTCATCAATTGAATCATCAATGGATACTAAAGCGAGGGGATCAAAGTGTCATGAGAAACAGGATATTCACATGATCTCAACATATCACTCTGTGAGATACTTATTAATTACAAAGAAAAGGATAGTAACTTTATATGGACAAAACTTTCAGACACCATCATAACCCCATTCAAGTTTAACATCACCTGATCCCTTCTACCATATTTCGGCCAAAAAATGTATAACCTGAATGTAATCATGGGGAAACACCACATAAACCCAAATTGACAGACATTCTACAAACTAAATGGCCAGTAAGTATTCTTTGCAAGTGTCAAGGTCATGGAAGACAAAGAAGGGAGAGGAACAGGATGGGTCCAGGTTAAAAGAGATTACAGAGAAAGGACAACTGGATGCAGCGTGCGAACCAGGATTTTTTTTGCTAAAAAGGATGCCTGGGGGGCAACCGGCAAACCGTGAACGAGGTGTGGAGATCACATGATGGCATTTATTAAAATGCGACTTTTTGATATTATAATTATACTAAGTTTAAGGAAGATAGTGTTCTTGTTCTTAGGAGAAACGACTGAATCGTGTAGGGGTGAAGAGATATTGTGACTTCCTCTCAAACAACTGAGAACGGCCTGGTGGTGCGGTGGGAGGAAATGTTAACATCTGGGTGAAAGGGATAGGAGATTTGGGGGCGTACTATTTTTCGATCTTTTCTGTAAGCCTGTAATTACGTCACAACAGAAAGGGTTTAAAAACAACCCCTTGCTTATTCCTCCTGCTTCTGTGGATTGCCTGGGTCTAGCTGGTCAGTTTTCCTTCTGGACTTACTTGGGCTCACTTGTCTCTACAGTCGGATGTCAGCTGAGACAGGAGTGTCCAAGATGCCCCTGCCCTCATCCTCTCTCATCTTCTCTGGTGACAGTGACCCGGGGGGGGGGGGGCCCGGCGCGGAGGGGCAGTGGGGTCTGGGTCTCAGCCTCAGGGCTTTTCCACATGGCCTCTCCAGCTAGGTAGCTTGACTTCCTTGCTCAAGATTTGGGGCACCTATGAGTGTGCAAGCAGCAGTCACCGTCCCCTTGAGTCATAGGGCCAGAGGAGGCCTGTGCCATTTCCACTGAATTCTGGTGATCCAAGAGACCCAGGGAGCCATCCAGGCTCCACGTGGAGGGACTTCACAAAAGGGTGACGATCCAGGTGGTTCCCTAGGCCAGACCTGGAGACCAGCCACAGTAACAGAGTTCAATGAGGGGAGCGGAATCAAGCAGAATTTCTATATGTGCTACAGAACAAGGGGTTTGTTAAATGAGCAAGACCTTATACAACTGAGGGACAAGTTGGAGCTTGCAGGGAACCTGCGAAGACACGCACTTCAGCGGGGGAAGGACGACGCACAGAAGGCTACTAGAGAAGACCGGGGAGGCTGTCGCCTGCGTCTGGGAGTGAGTTGCTATTGGTCAGCAGAGCTAATGGTCAGGAAAAGAGCGGATCACAGAGTCAGGAAGGGCGAGGACAAGCTCGAGTCTTCCGGCACCTCTGCTGGGTCTCTTTCAGCATTTAAAACACCACAGTGTGCAGAGAATGTTGGTCACTATTTCCCTTCTGCCTTCCAGATCGCATACAAATTTCTCTTTGGCCAAGTCGAAGCTGGAACCACAGAGGGAAGGAGACTGACAAACATAGCTCTAGCTAAGCCATGTAATGTCGTGTAAAACCACCGTAAGAGAGAAAGAGAAAGGACCACAACTGAGGGTTTAAAACTTGGTGGGATTCTGTGAGCACACTTCTTGGAGCCAGAAAAGGACTCCCAATGGAAAGGTCATAATTAAGAACCCTCAATAAGCTTCATAAAGATAATAAAAGCATAATGAAGCACACCATTTTTCTATGGACTGCATCAAACTGTATCTCCTAGGTACCAACAGTCTCCAACAAAACCTCAATTAACCAGAAACATGGCTGAAGTTTAAAGCTTAGGCTAAATTCTTTCGAGAGGGCAAAAGCAACACAAACTTGTATCAGAGATTTATCCCAAACAGTTTTCTGGCTGGAGCGCACAATTCTTATTTTTATACTCATTGGTACTTACAAGGCACTGCTCTAAGGGCTTCGTGTGCGGGAATTCATTTAATCCTTGCCACAGCCCTGTAAAATAGGCATTATGATCACCCCCATTTTATAGGTGAAGACACTGAGAGGTTAGACGCTTGCATGCTAGTAAGTAGCAAAGCCAGGTTTGGACCCCCGTGCAGTGCTCGAGGCTGCTCCGAGCCAGTGGTCTAAACTGTCATGCTCAGCCTCCTATACCATCCACACTCAGGGACTGGGCAATAAGGACGTGTTTTCGGAGTAACAGCCTTGGGCAGGGTCCAATACTCTCGTTTGTAATAAACCTGTGTATTCCTCAATCAGCCAAGACTCACAGCGTGCCATGTGCCAGGCACCACGATAGGCTCTGGGATTACCACACCAAGCAAACGCCGACTCAGACCTTGGCTCGTGGAGCTTCCAGTCCAGGGGGCTCACGAGTGAGAGCATCATCGCAGGCAGCGGTAGGTATCCTTAGGACGAGTCGGCCATCAGTGACGGCATAATTGGCTGCATTTTCCCTGTACTACAGCAGGGAAGCATACATCTCCTGGAGAACTTTTTACTAAAAGCGTTAAAGTCGTTTTTAAATCTCACTTTCCCCGAAAAGCCCACTACTCCAAACATCTCTGCTCCCAGCCTGCCCCCACCTGGTCCCTCCCCTGGAGCCCCAAGGCTCAGGCAGCGCTGGGTCTGCCCACCTCCCTGCCTCCCTCTGATTGGCTAATTTTCCCTTCTCTTCCTAACGCTGCTTTCGCCTGTTGGGTTTGTTTGGCTCCCAGCCCTCCTGCCTCAGTTACAAAAAAAGGTAATTACCCAGATTAAGGGAAAACAAGTGGTTGGCTAATTATGAAGTAGCCTTCCCTGAGAGCACCGAAGACGTTTTCAAATTGTACACAGCTGTCTCCCCATTAGGTCACGCAGGCCTGGAAACTAGTCAGGGTTTTTTTTTAACGTTTATTTATTTTTGAGACAGAGAGAGACAGAGCATGAACGGGGGAGGGTCAGAGAGAGGGACACACAGAATCTGAAACAGGTTCCAGGCTCCGAGCTGTCAGCACAGAGCCCGACGCGGGGCTCCAACTCACGGACGGCGAGATCATAACCTGAGCTGAAGTCGGCCGCTTAACGGACTGAGCCACCCAGGCGCCCCTAGTCAGGGGTTTTAAATCTCTCCAAAGGGAACAAGCGTGGGAAATGTGTAATTTAAACCAAAACAACCCCTCTTGCGCCCTAAGAGCTTGAGGTGGTTGGAATGTGCCTCCGTCCTAGGGAAAATTGAAGGTAGAGCCTCTGCACTGGCTGTCCACCTAAACACAAGGAAGGGGCTTCTTAGGAGCCTCTTCTGGCCTTTCAGAGTAAAGAACACAGTGCTCTGTCTGGGTTATTGTTTTGTCTTGGGGGTTGAAGTCGGATGGGGTGAAAACATACGGAAGCAAAACAAACATTGGAATGGACTTTGTGCGTTGTTTGAAGTCATTGTGTCTATTCATTTCACACACATAGAATTTCTGTGTTTTTAAATGGAAGACTTAAGAGTCTCAACTCCTTACGAATAAGCATGTGGTGAGGTCTCGAAATGTTTGTGTCACTGCAAAATTTATATGTTGAAATCCTAACCCCCACGGTGATGGTATTAGGAGGTGGAGCCACAGGAAGTAAGTGGTTCATGAGGGTGGAGCCCTCATAAGTGAGATTAGTGCTCTTATGAAAGAGACCCCAGAGACCTTGCTTGCTCCTTCTGCCCTGAGAGGTTACAGTGAGAAGACAAGGGTCTCTGAGGAAACAAATGCTCAACAGACGCCGAATCTGTTGATGCCTTTATCTTGGGCTTGCAGGGGCGCCTGGGTGGCGCAGTCGGTTAAGCGTCCGACTTCAGCCAGGTCAGGATCTCGCGGTCAGGGAGTTTGAGCCCCGCGTCGGGCTCTGGGCTGATGGCTCGGAGCCTGGAGCCTGTTTCCGATTCTGTGTCTCCCTCTCTCTCTGCCCCTCCCCCGTTCATGCTCTGTCTCTCTCTGTCCCCCCAAAAAATAAATAAACGTTGGAAAAAAAAAATTTATCTTGGGCTTGCAGCCTCCAGAATGGTAAAAAATACATTTCTGTTGCTTATAAGCCACCTAGTCTGTGGCATTTTATTATAGCAACCGGACTGAATTAAGACAACATGGAAACTCCAAAACCTGTAGTAACTCATGACTCACCAGTAAAGTTGTCTCCCTAAGGCTGGAGGGCAGGGATTAATTGTCACAGACTACCAGTCTGGAGATCTCTCTTGTCCAGCAAGGGAGAGGACACAGAATTGAATACAAGAGAGGCTAACGTCTGGGAGGAGACAAAAGCCCCAAACAGGGGTTTCATCTCCGTATTTGTTGAGCTTTCAAGATCTTACACACGTGGTGAACGTGGAGAAGACAATCAGACAGTCATCATCAACTTGTAAGAAGCAAAGGGTCTGGGGGGCAAGTGGAGTTTGTGATCAAAGTACAGTAGTACATTGGCGTCAGATGGAAAGTAATGTCCTGCAGGTGATATAACAAGTTACTCATGATCTCATTACAATATTTGGCTAGCTAAATTTGGGCATTTTTGCCCCGTGGTGGCGGCTTTCTGCCCTAACCCATTTATGAAAGTAGAACCTATTTCCCCTCAGTTAGTCACTTAGTGTGGAGTGGTACTAACTAGCCTCCGAATAGTCCCTTCTCAGTGTGGTTGTGTGGTTCCCAGTTATAATGGGATTTCATTCAATCCTCACATCTCCCTCTGGAGGAACGAAGTGACGTCACTGCTGCTTTACCCATATGCCAGGTTCTCCTGTCTTCCCGGCTTCGTTGTGCTTCGTTGCCCCCTTGAAATAAGTTTTGGCCACTTAACTTGCTTTGGCCAATGAAATGTGAGTGAAAAGGACACATTTCACTTTTGCATGGAAGCATGTGAATTTGTCTTCCTACAGTAATCTTGGAAGCACATGCTGATACAGGGGTGCCTTAAGACCAAAGCGCCCTGGGGGTGCCTGGGTAGCTAAGTTGGTTAAACATCGACTCTTGGTTTTGGCTCAGGTCATGATCTTGTTCTTCGTGAGTTCAAGCTCTGCATCGGGCTCTGTGCTGACTGTGCAGAACTTGCTTGGGATTCTCTCTCTCCCTCTCTCTCTGCCCTCCCCCTGCTTGCTCTCTCTGTTTCTCTCGAAATGAATAAATAAACTTAAAAAAAATTTTTTTTTTTTTTTTTAAAGACCAAAGTGCCCTGGAAAGATGAACCATCCTATGGAGAACAGCAGTCCTGGAGAATGACTGTGTCTGCCGTGGACTTTTTGCATGAGTAAGCAATAAACTTTAGCAGTATCAAGCAACTGGGATCTGGGGGCCCTGTTACTGCAGCATAAAATAGCCTTCGATCAATATTACATGGTAGAAATGACCCAACTCTGGTTCTTGTTACAGCCCTTGGATGGTCTTGTTTTTTCCACCTCCTCGGATGCTAGCCATCATGTAAGAAATGCAGCCTTCCTGGGGCACCCAGGTGGCTCACTCGGTTGGGCGTCCGACTTCAGCTCAGGTCATGATCTCATGGTTCGTGGGTTTGAGCCCCGCGTCGGGCTCTATGGTGACACCTCAGAGCCTGGAGCCTGCTTCGGATTCTGTGTCTCCCTGTCTCTCTGCCCCTCCCCCACACTCTCTCTCCCTCCCTCTCTCTCAAAAATAAATAAGCATTAAAAAAAAAATTTTTTTTTAAAGAAAAAGAAATGCAGCCTTCCTGGGACCACCATGCTGTGAGAATGTCAGGCTGCATGACAGGCCCTGGAGGATACAACACTACCTGGGAAGGAAGAGACCAAGGAATGTTAAATGTGCCGGACATTTGAGTACAAAGTCCTTTGGGTAGTGGGTCCTCCGTCTAGAACAGAGATAAACCATTCAGCCAAGCCCTCCACACATTCCTCACCTGCAAAATCATGAGCAAAATAAATGGTGGTTTTAAACCATTCAGTATTGGGGCATTTTGTTTCCTAGCTACAGATCACCAGACGCTGAATAATAAATATTTTACAGTGACCAACAATTGTTTTTTGTTTTTTTTTTTAAATTTTTTTTAACGTTTATTTATTTTTGAGACAGAGAGAGACAGAGCATGAACAGGGGAGGGGCAGAGAGAGAGGGAGACACAGAATCCGAAACAGGCTCCAGGCTCCGAGCTGCCAGCACAGAGCCCGACGCGGGGCTCGAACTCACGGACGGTGAGATCATGACCTGAGCCGAAGTCGGATGCCCAACCGACCGAGCCACCCAGGCGCCCCAACAATTGTTTTTTTAAATTGCCCTGTCTTTAGTATATAAGTCCTATGTTGCAAGCTTCTATAGGCTATGAGTTCCAAATTAGATTAACATCAATGTCAAAATACAATCGCTCTGAGACTCCAGCCCCTTGATTGCAACCACATAGACCCTGCTGTCATCCTTACTCTTCAGTTCCCCCCGTCACTCCGAGGAGCCCAAATGTGCTCTCAAAACAGTTAGTTAGTGGCAACGACCATGGGGTGTTCAAGGCTACTTCTCTTGTGCTCCACCCACTCATTCCTGTCCACTGCCTGAGACGCCGCCAAAAACTGTCTCACCACCGCTGCTGCTCACTGGCCTTGTCACACGTGCTGTCCCTGCGTGCTGTCTCTCTAGTGGCCGCGACGCAATGCACAGCCACCCACCTGCTCCCCCTCTCCTACCACGCACAAGACAAGTAGCTTCCAGACAACTGGTGGGTGCAAAGCAGCCATCAGAAGGAACGCTGTGATCCTTCTCCCAGCTGTCTAGCCAAGATGCCCTGTTTGAACAATTCAGAAGCATCTTGGAAAAAAAAAAATAAGCAACAAACGAACGAAAACCTATATGTGTTCCTACACGCCAAAGCTTTTTAAGCATGGCAGAGAACTAAAAGATTCTTAAACCCAACTTTCACCTTAGACTTTTGCATCTCTGCCCATGCTGGACAGCAAGATAGAAACGTGGGAGACGGCAAACTCGGGAAGGTATCCACACCAGAGGACAGGAAGCAGCCTCAGAGAAAGAGCAGACAAAGAAAATGAAAATGAAAGGCAGAGGTGGGGAGGGGAAGGGAGTGAAGGGGAAGGCATCCAGCCTGGAGCAGGATTCTCCAGCACTCAGGAACAAGGCTGTAAGTGCCAGCTTAATAATGAATGGACCTAGTCAGCTCCCCGGGGAGCCCCTGGAGCCTCTATTCCTGAGGCAGTTGAATTATTGATGGAAAATATGTGATGTTCTGGCCTGCGCTGACAGCTGCAAGACAAGCTGACAGCAATTTAAATTGATTCTGCCCCCGATAAAGTGGAGGCCACTTTCTGATTTTCAGAGACGCTCAAGGCCCCTGTGGGCGGAGATGGTGAGGGACGCCAGGTTTCCCAAGGGTCCATGCCTCTCCCTCAGGTCTGGAAGCAGCAGGAGATCCTCGCCAGAATCATGGGCTTACCCAGTGCTGTTTCTTACTTTTGTGTGAGTCCCCGGAGACCCCGGATAGCTTTTCCACCTCTCTGAGCATTGCTCAACAGTCCCATGTCCCACTACGATCGCTCGGTCAAGCTCACTTCCGGATGGAGCTGGGCTTCGCTAACAAAGCACCACAACCTGGGTGGCTCAACAACACAGCTTTATTGTCTCAGCTCGGGAGGCTGGAGATCTGAGATGGGGTTGGTTCCCTCTGAGAGAGGCGCTCTTCCAGGCCTTCGTCCTGACGCTGGTGGTTTGTTGGCAACCGTTGGTGTTTCTTGACTTGAACCTGAATCGTCTCAGTCCGTACCTTCATCTTCACATGGCCTTCTCCCAGCGTGTGGGTCTGTCTCCATGTCCAAATTTCCCCTTCTCATAAGAACACAGCCGTGTTGGATTAGGGCCCACCTCAGTGGTCTCACCTTAACCTGGTCAGGTGTTCGATGATCCTGTTTTCAAGTTAGTGTCCCCCTAAGGGTCCAAAAGATTCTATTGCTTCATTTTGCCTTATATAAGCATACCACATCAACACATTGTTTACCTTAACTTTACACGATGTTATATATCAATTAGATCTCAATAAAGATTGGGGGGGGGGGAGAAGCAGTGGGGGAAAAAAGTCTCTATTACCAAGCAAGGTCACATTTGCAGGTCCTGGGGCTTAGGGCCTCAACATCTTTTGTGGGGGACACAATTCAACCTGTAACCAAGTCCTTTACACCAGACCTGGCTTTCTTTCCTCTGAACTGACTCCTGACCACCATCAATGTAGAAGACTCTGAAGTCACGTATCTCTTAGGCCCAACCCAGGGCATCCTGGCTCAATCCTGGAGCTCTGTGCCTCATCTGTGCCCAGCTCTGGCTTCAGAGCACCCATTCAGGTGAGTGTTCCAATCCTGAAGGCCCACGACCTTGGGACAATATAGTGCTAAGTGTCACCGTCATCAATCTTGCCAGCTTCTCAAGGGCTCACACCATTCCTGTGCACCTACTGTGTGCAGGAACCAGTCGAGCCAAGCTGCTAAACCACACAGAGGGTCTAAAGGGTGACAGTCAACATCATGGAAGTATATTTGCTACACTATTCATGTTATCTCAAAGGCTAGCAAAAATATCGGATTTTCTCCACCCCTGAGGTCACCCCCAGAGCACAGAGCAAGCCCTCAAAGGACTTGGTACTAATCCCAGCTTCCACTGAAGATCATCTGAGTGACTTTGAGCAAATCACATAAGCTCTCTGGAACTTTCTTCCCTCACCTATAAAGCACATGCACTGATCTAGGTATTTCTAAGCTCTCCAGCACTAAGACTCGGGACAGGAGGGCAGAAATCAGGCAGGAAGCAGTGTGATGTATGGTGATATCTATTTCCCCTAGAAGCGACATGGGGCAGGTTCATTGATGTAAACTTAGGGTCCAGGATACCACCTGGAGTATGAAAAGTGTTTGACCGATATTTGTCGACTAAATAGAAGGATCAAGGAATTAATGAATGTCATGGCAATGCAATTTTTTTTTGCATAAGTTCTAATGTTTTTACCTGATCTGAGACAAGCTTGAGGAGCGGGATTTCCTGCAGGCATGTTGACCCCCCCCCCCCAACTAGACAGACACAGCTGCAGCACTGGGGGGCCTCGGTATCCCCACACCAGAGATCAGGGACCCTGGTAAGGAGACCGCCACTGAAGGCTTTTCTGGAACAAATTTTGTCTTCCCATTCTTCACATCCTCTTTTCCCAGCTACTGCTCACTTGTTCTCTTGTGGACACGCCCACTCTCTCTGACTTCCACTCAATAGCTAACGCACAGGAAACTCTAACATTTGACCATGGCCCCATCCCAGGGAAATTTCCCAAGGAAGGGTAAAAACACCAGGAGGGAGTAAAAAGTGGGGCATGGCTTCAGTATGCTTGTGTGTAGGGGGCAGAATTCAAGAGAACAAAAAAAAATCCCTCTGGGATTAAAAAAAAAAATGTGTAAGATTTTCTTTCTCTCTCTAGAACTGCTCTGGTTGTCCTTCTCTCACCTTCCAGAAGTGGCTCCCGCTCCTCCGCTCAGGAACAGAAAAATGAGAAGGTGGCATATGCACAGGAGAGATAGAGGCAGAGGGGAAGGAGTGGCCCAGAGAATGATGAACAGAGTTCTGGGGGGGCGGTTTCCTTTTTACCAGAAAAAGGAGAAAATTATGGACAACTGGCATCTCAGCAAAAGAGAACTTGAACACTCTAGCCTCTCCCTGCCCTGCCAAGGCCTTGCACAACTGCCTTTCAGACTCTCTGCCTTTCAGAATTGCTTCATCCGGCCCTGGGTCCCATGACCTACCTCGTTATCTGGATGACTGCCTAGGGCTGGCCCGGGGGCGACAGGGTACAGCTTCATTTGGGGAGCAGGCTTTGGAAGCCAAGGGGTGGTGTGGTGCTGGGTATTGGGGATGCACAGATGGGAAGACACGGTCTCTGCCTTCCAGCACAGGCTGTAACAGAGGTTCCACGGCCACTCTGGGACCCACGGAAATGAATTCTGAAGTCTACACGAGAGCCTCAGAAAGCTTTCACAGAGGAGCTGAAGCTTTAAGGATAGATAGGCGTTTGTCAAGTAGAAAAACAAGGAGGGTCTTCCAATCAAAGGGAACAGCATGTGCAAAGGCACAGAGGTGCAAAGGAACCCTGGATGCTCTGTCGGCCAGAAACAGTTAAGTATTGTTGGATTGCACCGCTCAGGGTGGGAAGGGGCAGGAAAAGAGGTCGGGCTGAGAGCTTTGGACTGTTACTTGAGGATACAAAAAAGGGACACGGTGAGGTTTGTAATCCAGGTAGAGCACTACCCAAGACGATGCAACCTGGAAGAGAAGGAGGCTCTATAGCCTGAATGTTTGTGTCTCCCCCACCCCCCAGACTCGTATGTTGAATCCTATTGCCCAACGTGATGGTATTAGGAGGCGCTTAGGGCATAAAGGTGGAGCCCTCGTAAGTGGGATTAGTGTGAAAGACCCTACAGAGCTCCCTTGTCCTTTCCACCAAATAAAGACACAAGGAGAAATCTGCCACCCAGAAGAAGGCCCTCACCCAATCATGCCGGCACCCCGATCTGAGACTTCCAGCTTCCAGAACCGTGAGAAATGAACTTCTGTTGTTTCTAATCTACCCAGCATATAGTATTTTATTGTAGCAACCCAACTGGACTGAGACAAGAGCCAAGAAGAGAATGCAGATCTAGAAGCGGCATGGCAAGGTGGAGGTCAGGGGCTTGGTGGTACCTGGTCACTGGACAAGTTCCTCGGTCTTTCTGGGTCTCTCCTGTGAAATGGGCATAATAGAATCTGCACTTCAAGGTGAGGTCATTAGGGGAAATCACGCAGGTGCCTGGCTTATAGGAGGCCCTCGATGCACAGAAGCCATGACTAGCTGGGCAGGGGAGACCCACTTAGTCACCCGGAGATTAAGTTCAACGATCTGTGTGCAGCCTCTCCCACCAAAAAAAAGAAGCACAAGAAGAAAAAAGGATTGGAGTTTACTTATCGCGGTGTTTTAAGGATGGCCACACATTCTTGGACACTCCTCCC